CCATCAGCTACTTTGCTAAGGTTCTGTCCTTTCAGCCTCCTTCTGGACGGGAGCTTCTGTAAAAAGCTGGCTGCAGTTCGCCATCTTGGCTCCGCCCCCCCCAAATAGACATTTCTGCAATGAAGATGCATCATCAGCCAGTATACACATGAAAAGATGTTCAACTTCCATCACTGAAATCAGAACTGCAGTGAGACGCTATTACACACACCGCAGGGGAGCAACAACAGTGTTTTTTAAAAGGACATCATCGAGCACTGGCGGGCGTGTGAAGAAATCGCAAGACTCGGGAATTGCTGGTAAGAACATAGAATGGAGCAAACTGTTACAACAGTCGGTTCCTCAAAAAGCAACTCATAGAATTCCTATAGGACCCAGCATTTCTAATCACACCTTTATAGTCAAAAGAACTTAACATTTGTGTACACAGAAACCTGTACGTAAGTGCAGCATTATTTCTAAGAATCAAAAAGTGGATACCACCTGAGTCCATCTTCTGATCCTTTCAGAAAGGACAGACTGGTCCTCCCACCCAGAGGCTGCCACCCACGGCTTCTCAGCCGTGAGAAGACGTGAGCCCTGACACAGACTGCAACATGGATGGACCTTGGAAACGTCACCTTCTGGGACAGAAGCCAGAGGAGAAAGGCCCCGTGAACGCCCAGAACAGGCAGATTCATTGCAGAAAGATCAGTTGTCAGGGACTGGGATGGAGGAAGGAGGAGCAGCTGCTAACTGAGATGAAATGTGTACACAACGGTTTGAACATTCTGAAAACCACTGAATTGTGTATTTAAAATGGGGAGTTTTATAGTGTGTGGATTATACCGTAGTTTTTTAAAAGAACTGTCCATTGGCTCTGGCAGTTTTGTAGATGGCTGGGACTCAGCAGGTGTCCCACCGGCAGGTGCTGCGGGAGGATGCCTGAGGACTGCAGGGGAAGGGCACACCTCACTTTTCTTTCTTTCCCTTTTTCCCTTGTCGTCATCATCTTTTTTTTTGAGACGGAGTCTCAAGCTGTTGCCCTGGGTAGAGCACCGTGGTGTTACAGCTCACAGCAACCTCAAACTCTTGGGCTTAAGCGATTTTCTTGCCTTGGCCTTGGGCTACAGGTGCCCAGCTATTTTTTCATTGTTGTTGCAGCTATCATTGCTGTTTAGCAGGCAGCCTTGGTGTATGTGGCCAGCGCCCCATCCACTGAGCTACGGGTGCTGCCCCCTCTTATTCTTTATTTTAAATTTGCAGTGAGACTTGTACATTTGGGGCCAAATGAAAGAAATCTGGGAAGAAAGGGTCCCACGCTGGACAGGAATGAAGAGCAGGGTGGGACAGGGCAGTGCCCAGGAAAAGGGGCTCCCAGAGAAGGGGAGAAAGTGCCCTGCACTGGTACATCTGAGCAGGAGGAATGCCACGTGAGCCCCCCTCTTTCCGCTGTGGTGAGCAAAGCAAGTGGGTGGGGTGGGGGTGTGTGTCAGAAATAGGCCAGCACTGGAATCTTTTGAAATCTGAACTCAGATTTCCTGACTCACAGGCTAATGCTCTCTCCCAAACCTCACAGCCCAGGTATTTCGGGGTGTGTAGATCCTGTGAAACTTCAATTCTTAAAAATACATCTGATCTTCTTGCAAGGTGACTCTTGTCTGCTGGGGAGGAGGAGCGAGCTTCTAATAAGAAAGGGTCGGAGACTTGGAGACTCCATAACCACGAGTACTAGTTCCTTCCCATTGACAAATATTTAAATTCAGCTGGTGGTTATTGAAGTAATTTCACATGAGGAAATTGTGTGCCTAGGATGAAGGACATTTAGAGGGTTGACTGCATTTTGGGCATTTTAGAAGTGAGACAGCCCTTGGTGAAAACAAGGACAGAGCAGAGGGCTCTGTGATGTGGCTGCCCTGCAGGGCCAGGGCAAAGCTAGAGCCAGAAAGCAGGGTCCTCCTCGTTTGCCTGCATCAAGGGGTGAGGGCACCCCAGGAGGAAGAGTCTGTGCCAGGGAGAGTCCAGGGGGACTGGGCACAGGAGCGTCAGGCTGGTTTCCTGAGTTGTGCTGCCTCCCTCCTGATCCCAGCTGGTGCCCCGTGTGCAGGTCCAGCCTTGCCCCTGACGCCCAGCAGAGCCTCCGTTGAAATAAGATGTGATAACAGTGCACAGCTCTCTCATCCAGCTTTAACTGGAATCAGCATGTTCACTTTTGCTTGGGCTTGGCAGGCGCGGGGCAGGGGGTTCTAGGGTGGGGGTGTCACTGCACTTGAGGCCCTCTCCAGTGTCCATCCGCCGAGAGGTTGTGAAAAATCAGAGGAACACGCTTTTCTGGAAGGGTGGGCTAATCTCCCTATACTCCCAAATGTTGCATGACAGCTCTTAGGGTAGAAATGGAAGTCTTTTTATTTTTCTGTAATTTTGTTAAGTTTCATTATTATAGAGAATTATGTGAGACTTTTGAAATTTCAAGATCTTTGAGGATCCTGCTTCGTGGAGGGTGTCTCTGAGCCTGCTCCAATCCAGAGAGGCAGAACCCATGGCCACAGCTGTCTGCGCCCAGCCTGGCCTTGCCCGCTGGGTGCAGGGCTGTGCAGCACAGAGTGCTGGGGTGTGAGGCATGGGTGGTGCTGGTGGGCCAGGTGGGCTGGAGCTGGAGATCCCTGGCCAGCTGGAGAGAGCCCTGGGCAGCCATTCGGCGAGCAGAGCCAGAAGTGGGTAGCCTTGAGGGTCGCACCCGCCACTGCCTGTCCCAACATCTCCTATGACCCACTGTCATTTACAGAACCAGCTGGAGGCGCACCATGAGGAGGGCATGGTCATCTCACACATGGCTGTGGCTGGTGTGGGGATCTGGATCGCTTTCACCTCGGGCTCCACACTCCGCCTCTTCCACACAGAGACACTGGAGCACCTGCAGGACGTCAACATCGCTGCCCCGGTGCACAGTCTGCTGCCAGGTGCGGGTGGGGGTGGGGCCTGGAGACGGCAGGGGGAGAGCTGGAGGCCACTGGGGTCAGGGCCTGGGGGAGGTGGGGCAGGGCTAGAGACTGCTTGGGGCCGGGCCTGGAGGTGGCAAGGATGGGGTGGGAGACAACTGAGGGTGGGCTGGATACAGCAGGGGCTGGTTGGGGCCTGGGGACCCCCTGCCCCCACAGGGCTGTTCTGGCAGGTTCACCCTCTTAGCCCCTTCAGGTCTGTGACATGAATGCCCTAAGCAGCTCCACAGCTTGGAGTCTGACCAAATTCTTCACAGGTCAGAGCAGGGGGCTTGGGAGCTTCTTGTTGTTAAGTGAGGTGCAGTTCTGGCCCAGCAAGGACCTAGAACAGGGAGGGTCACTGTGAGAGGGAGACTTTTGAGGAAGGCCTCACAGAGCCAGGTTGGCTGGTCTTTCCCCATGGACACAGGGGAAGGGAGCCGTGAAGAGAACAGGGATGGTGGTGTAGAGGGCAGCAAGTGGCTAGCAGGGAGACCCATGTGGCCAGCGTAATGCATATGGCTAGAGTAGGTGTGTAGCCAGTGTGTCGGTGTGTAGCTGTATGCATGAGCAGGCAGGTGGTGTCTGCACGCATGTAGTCAGGGGTCACGTATGAGCATGTAGCTGGCATGTATGTAGGTGTGTAGTCTGAGCATGTAGCTACTATGTAAGAGAATGTAGCTGGTACGTGTGAGAGTATAGCGGGTGTTCATAGCCATGTAGAGGGGGTGTGTAAATGCACAGTCAGTGTATATAAGCATGTAGCCAGCGAGTATAAACAGTTGGTGTGTGTGTAGCTGGTGTGTATGAGCACGAGGGCAGAGGTTGCTAACGGGAGTCACTGAAGGTTTAGACCAGGAGAGAGGGAGAGGGTCAGGCCCCTCCACTCTTGTTCTACACTGAATGTTGGGGGGATCATTGATGGGGTGGTGGACAGAGAAAAGGGAGAGGGGACTTGGGGCTGCGGCTTTGACCTGATTCCCTGTCAGGTCAGAGGGACGACAGGTGGGGCAGCCTCACCAAGGGCGGGGGTGCGATGGAATGACAGGAAGGGGGAGCTGGGTGTCACCTGGAGAACATCCATAGGGGAGGGCTGGCTGAGAGCAGGGCGTGCATTCAGCTGCCCCTTAACAGACTCTGTGTTTGAGGGTGTTGGTCGGCCTAGAGACAATCCCTGGGAAGTGGGTGTGGCTCCTGCCCAGTGGGCAGTGAATTAAACTGCTTGACATTATTTGCAGATCTTATTCAGACTGGTACTTGTCTTTTGTGTTCTGGTTTGGGTGAGCCTTCAAAGATGGCACGAGACCATCATACAATTGGTAGAAAGCTTTTGTCTGGGTTCATCCATTGGTTGGTTGGTAAATGATCTCAGAAGGGGTCTGTAGTTCAAGGAGAAGATGCTGAGGAAAGGCCACTGGCTCAGTTCTCCCCAGACTGAATGACAGACACAGACTGAGAAGCTGTGAACAGCAGAAGCGTATTTCTCACATGCTGGGCTCTGGGGAGGACCGGATTCCCGGTTTGTAGAAGCTGCCTTTCCCCGTGTCCTCATGGGTAGACAGACCTCCGGCCTCTTCCTGTTCCTGTGAGAACACAAGTCCAATCGGGGGCTGCCCTCATGACCTCATCTAACCCGTCACCTTTCATCCCCCACCTCTAAATACCATCACGTTGGAGTGAGAGCTTCCACCTATGAATTAGGGGGCCATGTTCAGTCTGTAACAGGTGCCACTTTATGACACATTGAAAACATCAGTAATTTAGAGGTCAGTTTCTAGAAAGGGTGTATGAAGCTGCCCACAGACGAGGGATGGGGAAGGCGGGGAGGAGGTGGACGGGGCCTTCCCTCCCTGGAGACAGAGGCCCCCACAGCTGTTCTTTTCTGTGGGGCTAGCTCTGTACCATCATTGTTAAAATGTAGGATATTTTTATTTCATGAAGAAAATGGAGATTTATGTAACAGGCAAGTTTATATTTAGAAAACCAAAATGGTTTGGTCTCTCTGGCTCAGAAAGTGAAACTGCGCTTTGCCACGGGTCTTGAGGTGGTGTGAACACAGGCGGCTGGCACCAGTGTTTGCTGGGTGTTGAGCGGAGACCAAGTCACATTCGCAGATCACCCGAGCATGCAGGGTGTGACCTGTGAGTGCCAGTGCGTTCCTCTGAGCCCTCTGCAGCGAGGCTGGCCCCACAGCCTAACAGCCCTGGGTTCCCTTCCTAGCAGCCTAGGGTTGCTGCCGTCCCAGTGTTCTGAGCCAGCTATGAGGAATCAGTGGCTGCTGCAGGACCCTGGATGTTTATCCCTCTCCACTTATGATCAGAGACTTGTAAGGGAGGGAAGGCTAGGCCAGTGTGGCTAGAGTTTGTGCAGGATTTGAGAAAACCAAACAGCGCTTACTCCCAGGCTAGAGACTATCTGTGGCTGTGCCTGCTGCCTCCCTGCTGCCATTAGAAAGTCAGGCCTGGGTGGCAGGTTCTGGACCTTTCATCTTGGCTTTGACTTCCTGCTGTGGATGAGGAAATGCAGCTCTCCAGCATCCCTGCAGACACAGAGCACCATGTCGCTGGGGCCCACCAGCCTGCCTGACACCCAGGGCAGTCTCCACTCGGGTCAGGCCCCCTCCACTCGGGTCAGGCCCTTCCACTCAGATCAGGCCCCTCCACTCGGGGTCAGGACCCTCTACTCGGGGTCGGGACCCTCCACTTGGGGTCGGGCCCCTCTACTTGGGGTCAGGCCCCTCCACTCGGGTCAGGCCCCTCCACTCGGGTCAGGCCCTTCCACTCGGGTCAGGCCCCTTCACTTGGGGTCAGGCCCTCCACTCAAGTCGGGGCCCTCCACTCAGGTCAGGCCCCTCCACTCGGGTCAGGCCCCTCCACTTGGGTCAGTCCCCTCCACTTGAGTCAGGCCCCTCCACTTGAGTCAGGGCCCTCCACTTGGGGTCAGGCCCCTCCCCTCGAGTCAGGCCCTTCCACTGGGGGTTGGGCCCCTCCCCTCAAGGTCAGGCCCCTCTACTCGGGTTCAGCCCCTCCACTCGGGTCAGGCCCCTCCACTTGGGGTCAGGCCCTCCACTCAGGTCAGCTTGCTTAGCAGCCTGGGTTTGTGACTGAACCACGGACCGTGACATCATCACCTTTCCTTCCTGGATCATTTCAGCCTTTCATTTCAGGGTTTCTTTGTCAGGCCTCAGTATCGTTGGCAGTGGCTGACCAGGGACCTGTCCTGAGCCCTCCCACAGAAGTGCTTGCTCTGCCATCGGCCGGGGTCTGCAGGAACATCCCCCTTGCCCCTCGGTCTCTGCAGGCCTAAGACCAGCACCCTCCTGGGTCAGCTCTTGGAGTTGCAATGTGGGCTTTGCTCTGCTCCCTCTGTGGGACCAAGTCGGGATCTTTATTTATTCCTACACAAATAATTAGGTCTGCTCTTTAGACTTGTGTGAACACACACACACATTCCTCTTATTTGGGGCCTCTTTTGCACTTTTATCTGTGCCCAGTTGTTTCCTTCCAGGTCGTGATCTGCTGCCACCCAGGCTGCGTGACTGGAGAGTGGTGGTCAGTCAGTCAGAGCAGAACTTCGCTACTCCAGGAATTTGTTTTTTGTTTGTTCTGCCTCTGACGGCGGCTCCTGGATCAGCCATCAGAATGGCCTTATCTGAAATTGTTCTGATTTTCATTGCATTTGCGACTTAGAACAAGGATGCCAAGGAGTTACTTCCTCTCACTGTTGGTCTAATTATCTGGCTTTGGGGCCAGTATTCATGGTATAAGCAGTACTGTGTGTTATTTTATATTTAAACATTTCCCTTCATGTATATTGCACTGTATTTATATGTACTGACTCTGCCCTCTGAGTCAGCACAGACGTACTGCTGACGCTGCCTGGGTACTTGCATCCTCTCCGGCTCCCACATGTGAAGCCTGCACTCTGGCTGCGTGTAGGAGCTCACCCAGATACACATTTGCATGCACACACTGACAGTCCACAGAGTTATCTTTTCTGCTGTTGCTGGAATATAAAATTTAAGTAGGTTCTACAGATGAGGACTTGCCAAGTCAAAAAGAACAGAATTTGAAAGAAAATTTATACTGTAACTCACACCTTTTTTATATGTTAACGAAACTTGATTTAATCTTCTTCCTTCCTGAGCTGCCTCAGCTCGCTGTCCCTGTGGGGTACAGGAATCCACAGTCTCCCTGCTGGGCCTTTCTCTTCTATTGGGAATTCAGTTCTGAAAGCTATTAGCTCAAACTCTTCTACATAAACGATATCAAATTTGACACAGTCTAACAAGTGATGATAAAACATTGTGTAAGAGCATGCCCATTTCTACAAGAGTTACTAAATTTCTAAGTTATAAAGAGTAGAGTTTGCAGCAAGTAAGTTGACAGGCATTGATACTCATCCGTTCCGGGCTCTGAGCATTCACAGTGAGTCATATCACTGCGCAGATGTTTCCTGCTTTGTCCAGAATGTCAAAGGCAGATATTTTTGATGGATAAGAACTGAGACCCCAAGTTAAGTGTAGGCTTCTGTGTCCCACTGAGTGAAAGCCTTCTGGAGGGGCCTGACAAAGTCAAATGGCCGGAATTTCCATCTTTGAAAAAGCAGCATAACTTTTCTAAATAGCATAGACCACACCAGGAGGGAATTCAGCAAATGCACCCAGACTCAGGACTGTGAATTAAGGAACAAGGGGATTCTCCTTGTACCCTTCCTGCCATGCTCTGAAAGCTGCTTGCTGCCGTTTTCACTCTTATGTGGTGAGCTCATTGATAGTATTGGTGAACCTGATGGCTGCTCACGTCCACCTGCCTGAGGGGCTGTACTCAGCTCGGGGCCTGTGTCTCCTCTCTGCACTCAGAGACCAGTGCTGTCCCGGAGCTCACCATCCAGCAGAACTGATACTCTGTCAGTCCCCACGCCACCCCTCTAACCCATCTCTGCCCTCTCCACGCGGCAGGTCCTCTACCCCCAGGGAGGCCCCACGGCGTCCACGGCCAGTCTCTGTGGGCACTTCCGATGAGGCACCCCATACTCAACCACACCATCACCTGCATCCGCTGAAGTTAGAAAATTGCTGTTTTGATTGTTTCTGTATAAGGTTAAAGATGAACCATGGACTACTTTGAAAATGGAATTTTAAAAATTACCTGGAACTTTTTATTTTTCTTAGTTTCTGAATGCTTTCAAACCTGTTAGAAAAGTTAAAACCTGGGTTTTGCCTGCGTTCACCCTTTTTGTCACTAAGAGCTTCGGCTCCTGCAAGAGCCTCGAGAGCCCTGTCTTGCTTCCGTTCAGTGGCCGCAGCCTCCCCGGTGCCCAGTGTCACCCTGTCCCACTGGGAGGACTGGCTCCCCAGGGCTGGCTTGCTACTTGCTTATCCTGTGCTGCTTGGTTGGTGTTTATTCTCTTTAGAAAGGCCGCCCAGTCTCTACTAAAAATAGAATAACTAGCTGGGTGTTGTGGCGGACGCCTGTAGTCTCAGGTGCCTGGGAGGCTGAAGCAAGAGGATCGCTTGAGCCCAAGAGTTTGAGGTTGCTGTGAGCTATGATGCCCCAGCACTCTACTGAGGATAACAAAGTGAGACTTTGCCTCAAAAACAACAATAATAACAGCAAAGACCCTCTTCTGAAGCAAGACGTTTCCTTACAAAGACTATAGAAAGTTCCCCCAGATTCTACTGCACAAAGCCTAGGGAGATGGTCAAAAATGAGATTTCCTCAGATATGCTATTTACATGCAAAGGGGGGAAATTCATCAGGAGAAGAAAAGATTACTTTCAAAATGTTGTTTCTGGATGACAATAAAAAGTAAAGTTTTATCCTTCATAATTTAACAGTGAATTCTTCTTCATGTTTTTATTAGCAGCTAGAAATATTTGTATATCCTATTTCTGGAATGAAATGCCGCTGCAGAGATCGGTTTGGAGTGCAGAGGCGCAAGGCTGATTAGTGAGATGGGCTGTTTAAAATCGCCATTTTCCTCATTAGCTATCTTTAAAGTTGTTTATAGAATAAACATATTGCAAATGCTTCTTTAATAACTGTAAACCATTTAAAAATTATAAATTCACTGTGGAGGAAAATTTAACTCAGAGATTCCTCTTTGTAGAAAAATTAAATGAAATTCAGTTTCACAAATCAAGATATTTCAGGATGTTAAGTTTAAAAAAATTATAAAAATGGTCAGTTGTTTCATTTGCATAGTTTTCATTTCTGTGGAGGCTTCGCTACCACACTGGGTAAGTGTGGAGTGTGGACTTGCTGAGGTAATAGTCTCATCTCTAGCCTCCCTGCCAAGGCCCTGGAGCCCTGATGGCTCTGGAGGTGTCATTTGTTGTATTCTTTCCACTACCTCTGTATTTTAAAAAGCAGTCAATTCAGGACAGCTGGAATATACACCAGCCCCTGATTTGTGCTCTCCATCCCTGTGATGTGGCCCCAGAGGGTATCAGGGGTGAGCAGTCTGTTTACTTGGCTCTGTTCAGGCCACCTGTAATCAATTTTGTGAGATAAGATTATTAAAATTGGAAGCTTTAAATGGGAAATATTTTTCAGCCTTGTGTATCGGGGAACGCGGGAGAAAACTAGGATTTATAGGAGCAAAGCACAAAGCAGCTCCAGTCGTCTGCTCCTACCAGGAGAGGTTCCCTGACACTCTGTGCAGGCAGGGCGCAGAGAGGCCTTGGGTTTTGTACAGAACTCGTGTGAAGGTTTATCTTCTGTCTCATAAAATGATCATATTTAATGTATAAAATACCATTGAGCCAAACGGATGCTTCAGAAAGATGTGTCCCATCCGTGGTGCACTATGCCCAGCATCAAAAACCTGGGGCAGTTTTTAAAACAAAAACTTTTGAAACAAAAGCTTTTGAAAACAAAAGCACCTGCTTGCACAGAGGATAGTGTGGGTCACACACAGGTCTGATACGTCTCTAAGACCCGAGCCGCTCAAAGCAGGCAAGAGGATGAATCAGTGTTTAGAAATAAAACCAAACATCTTTTTGTAGTTAAGGGGTGGATTGTTTGGTCTGGGGGGTTGTTTTTGCTGTCACCTAAATATTTTATAAAACTGACTTCTGTAGCTACACTGGCTCTGGCGTCTGGTTGGTTGTTTTTCATGCTGTTTATCTAAGGTGGACTTGGGTCAAAGGCAGAGATACTGGAAGTGGCTTCTGTGTCTACAGAGAAGAGTCGGTATTTGAAGCACTCACCACTGTGTCTCATGACCAAACCAAACTGGCCTTCTGCACTTGTCATGTCTGGGCCTACTGGGCGGCCAGCTGTCATTGTCCTGTTTCCCTTTAGAACTGGTGGTGCTGGTTCTGTTGCTGGTGCGAGAGCCATGGCCCAGGATGGCCCGGATCTGGGGTGTGCGGGGGGTCTTGGACACTAGAGGGGCTTCTCCCACCTCCGTCCATTGCCCCTTTCTAGCCCTGTTGCCACCCAGAGCAGATCATTTCATGTCTCTGGGCTTCAGACCCTTGGCTGAGAAGCAAATCAAAACAGAGGGAACAAAAGCTCTGCAGCCTTCTGTTGCCTGCAGCCCGGCTGAGGCTGAGATGTTGTTCTTCTCACAGAGCCCCTGGGAGGCCTTTTGGGCCCCAGATTCCAGCTGTGTGGCCAGGGCCCGCCCTCCAGAACCGCCTCTGCCAGGAGCCCTCTGCTTATGGGTGAAGGGCGGCTCTGCCCCCAGAGAACCACAGGCATGCATGTCGGAGGCCCAGGCTTGGCTGCAACGCTAAGTGGAAACCAGTGGTTTCCTAGATGTTTCAGGGGGTGCTTCACATCCATAGGGGCCAACTTGAGTGGCATTAGGAACAGGGCAGGCGAGAGACCCGGCACTGTACTTGCTCCCCGCTTTGCTCAGTGCAGTTGCAAGATGTACCTGCCTGGCTTGTCCAGTTTGGGCACGCCTAGCACATAGGTGTGAGCTCTCTCACAGTGCATCCTGCTTGGGGTCTGGTGGTGAGCCCGAGTGCGCAGGTCTGCAGTGTGCCCAGCCAGGCACTGAGCGCCCATGTTCTCTCTACTCAGGTCTGCTGCAAAGATCCTGAGCTACTTGTCTGTCTCCCCACCAGGGCACCAGCGCCTGTCGGTGACCAGCCTGCTCGTGGGGCACGGATTGCTGATGGTCGGCACCAGCTTGGGCGTCCTGGTGGCCTTGCCGGTTCCCCGTCTGCAAGGCATCCCCAAGGTGACCGGTGAGTGTGTGGCTGCTTTGCCCTGTAAACCCGTGGGCATTTCAGTCTGTGCCGTGACTTAACAACCCAGGGCTGTTTAAATAATTTAAATTATTTGGAGTGTTTTTTCAGTGTAGACTAAAATGTATTAAATTGGAATTATCAATACTTCTTTTTTCTATTTATAATGCTTCTACTGCAAGGAGACTTTTATCCCGAAAACATGGAAATTGATATTCTATTTACTGCCACCAATTTCTATCACCTTGTGCAGTGTTGCTCAATGAAATGGGCATATTTTATATGTTATGTTTTATATTGTAAAGAAGGCAGTTCAGGATCTGGAAAAGCTTAGTTGTGCTTCACTGCAGTGCTGGTGGGGTTCCAGCTGGTTCCCGCGGCCTTTACACATCGTGAATCTTCAGATATCCTTGTGGTCCCAAGTCAAGATCGAGAAACAGCCAAATCTAGGAACAGATAATTATCTAGAAAAGATAATTTGCATTTGCCACTGCACTTGATTTTTAATAGCACAAAACACAAGACGACTTTAGTGTTCACAGTTAGGGTGAGGAAGCTGAGGGGAGGTTGTGTTGCCATCAGTGGGAGAGGCTGCAGGGAGGTGAGGACTGGAGAGTTCCCAGGGAGGCAGGAAGCTCTCAGTGCTCTAAGTTAAGTGAAGCTGCTGAGGTCTTACTTTTTATGTTGATTATAATGTCACCTCGGCAAAAAATATTAACAGAGGAAAAGATTTGTAGGAAACTCCCCAAATGTGGATCATTCCTCTGACGCCAGCCCTGTCTGGGGCTCAGGCACACTCAATGTTTTTGCTTGTCCACCTGGTCTAAGGAAAGAACTCCAAATTTTGCCATTCATTTCTTAATTTCTGTTTTTATTATGATCTGATAGGTATGGGGAACCTGAGGGCTTGGGGACACATGTGCCTTCTGAATCCTTGAGAGGCCTTTTGACTGAATCCAAATTTCACAGAACAAGTCCTCTTAATTCAGGGATTTGTTCCCCAAAGTTTGGATTCAGTCAGAGAGTGGCACTTGGGGATCTGGAGGCCACATGTGCCCTTGAGGCTTATTGGAACATTTCAACTTCAGATTTGAGATGCTCAACAGGAAGTATGTAATGCAAATATTCCAAATTCCAAAAACAAAATCTGAAATCTGAAACGCTTCTGGTCCCAAGCACTTGGATAAAGGATACTCAAACTGTAAATACATGAAATTGTATACAACAAATTTGTACAGTTTAACATAATGATCAAAAGGTCACACTCATTACCAGGCCATGGAGCCCCGGCCACATAGCCCTGGCCACGGAGCCCAGGCCACGGAGCCCTGGCCACCCTTGCAAACTGATTTCTCCTTCCCTCACGCCAGTAGGAAGAAGCTGTTCTCCTGAGCTTTGTGTTAGTTATTCCACTGGTTTTCCGCTGTAGTTCCACCAGTTTCTACCTTGAAACATTCTGTTTACTTCCCCCTTTTCCACTGTTTCTGTGATTGTCCCCAAACACATTCACCCCTTGTTCCTTTTCTCTCAGTGTCTTCCGTCCTCAGTCATTGGTGTGTGTGACTGTCGCTCACTTCCTTTCCTTGCTGGCCAGTGTGCCTTGAAAGTAGCTGCAGTCTTATCCATAAGAGTGTTTAGTATTCTATGTGACACTTCTGAGTATCTGTGTGGCTGTCTCTGCTCACATGGCGTGAGCCCCCCAGGGACTCAAGTCTGGGTGCTGAGTTGCAGGGGTGTGAGGAACACATGAGTTCGTATCCGTGTCAGCACAGCCCCCCAGCTTTCGGCAGCCTTCTTCAAGTGCCATTCTGCTCCTTGAGACAAGGAGTCGTGCAATGGCGGAAGGCTGAGGGGGGCGTGGTAAGGGCTGCAGCCTGTACTAGCCTGTCCCTGGGCTGTGTCACCTGTGGAGCACCCAGAAATGTAGCCAGTTCACGTGTGTCATAACAAGACCTCCAAGTATTTCTGATGCCAATTACGGTTTTGAAATGTGAATCCCATCACCTGGAAACTGAAAAGTCCTAATTTAATTGAACAATAGAATTAAATTGTTTCAAACCTCATTACCTTTTGTAATGAAAAAGGATAGGAAGCTGGTAGTTTAGGCATTTTGTTCCTAAAACTGACACAATCAAGAGTTAGGACAATTAGGTATATCTCCATAGTGTAGGTGAGAAGGTATTTCATGCAGAATAGGAAAATGACTATTTTATTACTACTACTATTATTATTGCAGTTTTTGGCCGGGGTAGATTTGAACCTGCCACCTCTGGCATATGGGGCTGGCTCCCTACTCCTTTGAGCCACAGGCACCGCCCTATTTTATTATTTTTTAAAGTACAGAACTCAGTATTAGAACTGAGAGACTGTTGAAGAAAACACAATTCTGTATCTCAGATCATTATTTTTAAAGTTTTAGTTAAATTAACTAAAAATCTCCAAGAACATAACCCCACTGTTTTCTTCTTAACCTGTGTCACCCAAGTATGAAAGTCACAGGCTTGTCTGTTTGGACGGGGAGAGACGCACTGGGGTCATGTCACTGCTTTTGGTTCCTTCTGTGAGTGTCTGTTCCCTCCCCAGGGAGAGGCATGGTCTCCTACCATGCACACAATGGGCCTGTCAAGTTCATCATCTTGGCCACGGCTTTGCAGGAGAAAGACAAGGACAGGTCTGGGGACAACATGGCTCTTGGCCCTGAGGCCCTGGAGGACGACCAGAAGGACGGGCTTCCCAGCGAGGGGGCTGGTTCCCGCCTGAGCCAGGGTGACCCTGACACAGCCATCTGGTTGGGAGATGCTCCCGGATCGCTGACCCAGAAGAGCGACATGTCCTCCTCATCAGGTTCCCTGAGTCTGTCTCAGGGCTCCAGCTCTCAGGAGCACAGGCTGGAGGATAGTGCCATCTACGATCTCCTGAAGGACCCCATGTCGCTAAGAAGCAGAGGCCGGAGGGCCAAGAAAGTCAGGGCCAGCTCAGCACTGGTGGTGTGTGGCGGCCAGGGCCACCGGCGGGTACCCCGGAGGGCTAGGCAGTCCCACCCGGAGGAGCTGGTAGCCTCCGTCATGGTCTGGCAGGTCCCCTGCTGAGCACAAGGTGGGAATTTGCAATTCCAGGGTGACTTCTCAGCTAAGTCCCATGGCATGAGTGCACACCGTGTCTACACTGGGTCGGAGTAAATTAAAAACAGTATTTGAGGAGAAATGTGCAATACCGAGGTGGTGGCTTTCCTGCCGCTCCCTCCTTCTCTTCCACAGAGCAGAAGTGAACGTGGTGCTTCTGGAGGGAGAAGAGGGAGGCAAGTTCTGAGTCATCCGGTGAAGTTCTGGGAAAATACCACGTTCTGTGTGACTGCTGCGGCCCGTGTTTAATACTGAATGTTAAACTGCCGCTTCAGACCCATTCTTGTATCATATCACTTAGAAAATTTACAAACTAAGAACTTAGGAGAAAGTCAGCGTATTCGGTAGTATAGGGACTTGTTAACAATTCATTAAATAATTTTACATGATTCAAAATTATTTATATTTTATATTTTCAAATTCCAGAATAGAATTTGTAACAGTGAAGAGCCAGGTGCCCGTCTGTCAGACCGCGTGCTGCGCCAGGCATAAGCGAGAGGCTTCCCAGCCTGCAATAGTGTCTGTGCTGTATATTTAACAGAGCAATGTTTTTATATTGCATTCTCTATTAAAATATTAACAGTTGATATTTTAGTCAATATATTATCTGTAGCACTTCACAAATAATGTTTGCTTTGAACCAAAATGCTCAATACCTGTCAACATTTAGGCTCAAGTGTCAGCGCCAAATTTCTCTTCCTTTCTCACGTTCGATAGTGTTAAGGTCCACACCAGAAATCCGTGCGTTTTAATGTCACAGGAAACACATAGAAAAGTCTCAGTCAGTTCCTCCGCATGGTCACTTTCTCCCACCTGTTGACCGGGAGCGCTGTGTCTATTTCGAACACATGCTCTGAATGATGCCCGGAGCCTTGGCTGGCCCAGAGCAGCAGCCTGGGACCTCACTGCCTGTCACTCAGGCACCTCGTCTGCGGGCACCTGGGTTTGTGTTCTGCAGCGGCAGTGCCCACTCCGGCACCGAGGTGCATGAGTAATCAGAGCCCCGCTGCTCAATGTGTACTTCTGGATCAGTGTTTTACTTACCTGACACAGGCATTCGCCAGAAATAAATTTCTCAGCACTTTACAAATGACTAAATATGTTCATTTTATGGACTTAGCCAAATTATTTTCTAAAATGCATATATACGCCCTTGTGAAAGTCATGTCTTCCCAAGCTTTCTTAAACTGGTAGCTGCTGATTTCATAATTAAAGTCTTTTTATTTAAAAATGCAGTGTTATGAGGTGCCTTTTTCCACATGAAATATGAAAGCACACTTAGGTTTTGGAGGGTGGGGTGGCCTGACTTGTCGCCATGCCCCTGGTACCCATCTGCTGGCCTGGGAGACTGTGTTGGCCGCGTCATGGAGGACGAGCTCTGAGTGCGAACCTCCCAAGACCCTCGTGTTCTCCCCGCTTTTACTCTAACATTGTGGGTGAGTTGTGCTTCATGTATCACCTTTGCCTCCATGAGTTCCATCAAATTAGCAATGTGACCACCACCTGACCACAGAAAGCTCTGGGAACTCCCAGGACCCTCGTGTTCTCCCCACTTTAACTCTAACATTGTGGGTAAGGTATGCGTCATGTAAAAGTCCATGCTGTGTGTGTTGGGGTATTTTATGGGACCAGGACAGTGTCCTATAGGGACAGGTGGTGAGGACACATAAAGTGGACTTTCTGGGTCCAGACATCTCTCTCCTCTGTTGTGCTGGTCATGGGCAGGGTGAGACTTGTGTCGCTGGCTTCCCCCCTCCAGCCCCACCCCAAACAGAAGGTTACATATGCCGATGTGCAGCAGAGTGAGCTACAGGGGAGGACAGGGCCTGAGGACACCAGCAGCAGAGAACCCTGTGCGAGGACTCAGCTTCCTGCTCCACAACTCACAGTTAGTGAGGAAGGTGGCACATCCTGCCTCGAGCAGACAGAACTGGCAGCTTGGGGACATCTCTGCAGAGTGTGGGCTGTACTGTGTGCACTGACCCCAACCCTGGACGCATGCACTAGGGGGGCACTGGGGTGAAGTAGGACTAGCCCCTGCCCCCCCATCTCCCACATGGGAAACATGATTCTCATTGCTGCAACCCCAGGAAGTATCAGAAGACATGTCCCTCCATGAGTTCCACCAAATTAGCAATGTGACCATCACCTGACCACAGAAAGCTCCTCACACTGGTCCCCCAGGCCACAGAAACAGCTCCTGGACCAGCTGGCGGTGGACTCAGATTGCCAGTGAAAGTAAATAACCACCTGGGCTTGACAGAAAGGGCTCAGATACCCAAGGGTGACAAATAGTCTTTTCCCACCAAGCCCCAGTCCAGGGAGAACATTTTGGAGCAGGTAGGGAGCAGGGTGCTGAGGCACCAGCCCCAAGAGGAGGAGACCTGTCCTCCCGTGGGTGAACTCCAGCCAAGGCGAGATTTCAGGGAGGAAGTGAGGCTCTTGTTCTTGTAACAGAGCAGGGCCCCATGTGTAGTGTAGAGTGAGTAAAAGCAGATCCACCCGTCTAGGTGACGGGATCAGAGCTCTGCGGTGGATGGCTGGGTGCACCTGCCATCTGCACAGCCCCTCCAGACTCTTGGGCATACTGCTGTCTGCTGGGGAGGAAGGTTTGGCTCCAACAGCTGCCCAGAGGGGCTGAATGAGTTGATTCAGGGCTGAGAGGAGCTCCTGGTCTACAGAACCAGGAGAGGATATGAGGGAAGGGGACACAGAGGACCCCTCCCTAGCCCGCCCCACAGTCCCTGGACAGCGGCCTGCCCAGTACAACCCAGTGTGGTCAGGACCCGCCCTGGAGGCTTGCTCTTGGGGACAACGTGATGAGGCTTGACCACAGCACAGTCAGCACAGAATGAGCCTCTTGGGCAGGAATGTGTGACTCACCTCACTTCCCAGGGGTGCATCTGCTGTTCGTGTACACGGGCATCCTACCTGATCTTGTGACTTGTGCCCTAAGGTTACAGCTTTGCTGGAAGTAATTTGGTTCCTCAGTTGTGTCTAATGAGAATCTCCCAGGGCCAGGGAAGAAGCACAGTTACAGGGACAGTTCCCACCGGCAGGTGGACACAGGCCATGGTAGGCTCCGCAGACCTCTAATCCCACAGACATGAAAGTGCCTCATAAAGTCAGGTGTTTTGTATGATGGTTCAGAGATAGAGCATCCACCAGACGTAAAAATCTCACAGCTTTAATGAAAAGAAGTGATGTGTGGAGACATTGGAGCCACTCCACTTATTTTCTTCAAAAAATTGAAATGAATGTCATTAAGAAAAACAAGTAAATGAGCCTGTAGTATTCTGGGCACTTTGCTGAATATTCCCAGGTAACTGCACACAGCATGGCTCTTGCTCTCTCAGAAACCGCTGCTTTTCTACCCCTGCCCCCCCCCCCGGCCTACGTGTGCTCACGCACATGCATGCAGGCACACACACTCCTCTCCGCACGAGCTGCAGCCTCCTACACGGCCTGTTTGGGTGATGCCTATTCACACAGACGGGAGGGCACAGCTGGCAGGGCCCCCAGGCTTTGGCTGTTTGCTTCTGTGACTTTCTCACAGAGCCTTGGAAAGAATTAACCCTTGCAGAGCAGGTTGGTAAATGCTAATCTGACCGCTACTACAGGTGAACCTGCATGTGTGTCTCTGTGCAAACGGAGTCCCTTAGCAGCCAAAATGCCACTGTACTTTTGGGGTTCCTTGGCACCTCCCTGGTGTCCAGGGCCTGTGTCGGTGCTCATTCCAGTGAGGAAATGCCATGTCCTGGACTCTGGGGTAGGGAGAGGCAGGGCTGGGGCAGGAGCTGTGACCGTTTGTCCCTCCTGCAACTGGGGTCAGAACTCCCCCCATCTCAGCCTTGACGTGACTATGCTAACTGCCCACCCCACAGGCCTTCTGGCTGCCATGGAATCATTTTTTTCAGGTCAGCACATTTCTAAATATGACTCCTTTGAAATGATGATGCCATTATAGTTCCACTTTACAGACGGGAACATTCTGCTCAACCAGACTGGAGCCGTGGCACAGGTGCCCTGCCCGGGGAGGTGGCAGCTGCTTCCTCCCTGGGTCCGATGCCCAGCTCCACCTTCCCAGGCCAGCTTCCAGCAGGGCTTCCAATGCACCAGCACAGCGGGTGGAGTCAGCCACTCTCCTCCTGGGGTTCACCAGAATTAGGACGATGGGGCTGGAATTACAGAGAAAGAAGTTAAGACTCAGACCCTGGGCTAAAGGATCCGGACTCAGCCGGGTGGTGCAAATGCGCTGCCTGGCGCCCGGCCAGGGCACAGAGCAAACACACAGGAGGCCGGAGGGCAAAGCCAAACAAAATCCGCCACAGAAACCAGTGGCTCCAGGCGCTCTAAGAGCTCTCAAGTTGCTGTTTGCTGTGAGCGGCCAGCGATAATGAAACACAGGCGCACGGCTGGGAAGTGGTCATCTGATCCCGACTGCCGCCATTTAACATGCAGAGGGTTTGTGTAAGTTCTGGTTCACACAGGGCACCCTGCATGCCATGCACTGCTGAGCTGGGCAGAGCCGCCTGCTGGGAGGATGAGGAGGGTCTGGGCTGACGTTAGACAGTCATGGGAGAAGCCAAGTGTTCAGCAGGCACAGGCGTGTGGGGCCAGTCTTAAACATGGGGGGACACAGGGCCCACACAGTGTGGGATGAGGGTGGGAGGGTCGCAGGAGGGGCCGGGAAGGAGTGGATTTTTGGAGCCTGACCCTGGCAGAATGCTGGTGCCTAGCGCACACTCAGAAGGCCAGCAGAGAGGAACAGTGTGTTCTCCTTAGGTAAGTAATGAGGGTTTTTTTTTCTTTTGCTCATGAAAAACAATTGCTTTTTTGCTTTTTTGTTGTCAACACACGGGATTCCTGTTCTACCTCTAGTCCAGTGGGTCTTAATTGGAGTGGGGGACATTTGGCAATGCTGGGGACACTTGTGTTTGTCAGGGATACTGCTGATGCCCTGCCATGCTGGAAAGCCTAATGTGGGCTGTCGTGATGGACGCCTTCCCCAATTCTTTTACATTCTCTCGGAAACAGAAGCTCCATGACTTTTTTGTTGTGAGCCTGTGGATTCCTCCTCCGATGTCCAGTGTTCAGGAGCCCTGCAGTCTCTCTGTTCTAGCTGGAATGCAGCCGTCTCTCCTTCAGGTCAGGAAGTGGGGTTTCCACAGAGACCAGCAGGGGTAACAGCGCCAGTAGCCTGGACTTGGACACCGTGTTTCTAACTGTCAGCCGTGTATGGTGGCAAAATCCTAGCCTGCGGGGGCTTTAAATTCACACTCAGTCCAGAAAGAACAATCCCTGGTGGCAGGAGACGTTTTATATATTTTATTTTAAGCAAATCCAACATATGTACACCCAGATTTACATGAATGGCAGATTTGGGCTTAGTCTTTCTCATAT